TGCCCAGCCTTGGAGGGGAAGCCTGGCAGAGATGATGAATGTAAAGATCTGAGGTCCAGTGTAGCAGAGCACATTGACAAACTACCAGCAGACGTTTGGGGGGAAGGAAAATGGTCACACGGACTGTCAAGTCAAAGAATGAAAGGGGAAATAAGCTAAGGCTATTTTGTTTCTCCCCTTGAACAACTCAAGTTTTAAAATATTTCTGGTGGCTGCCTAAGCCCCATTTGTCCTCACATAGGCATTATCTGTAGCTCCATTTACTGTGTTGAAAGCTGTATGGTGCCAACATTCTGTCATCTATAAATTTGTGGCAGTTAGGCCAAGGTAAGGGCGATGCGGAGGAAATGATCCTAACACTTTGATTAACAAGAATTACATCACATTCGGTTTCGATTTGAGCCCCAAACAGGAGCTGTCTTTGTTTTGTGTTTGTTGTTGTTACAATAAGCCATGCATAAATATCACATTGAACTGTTTAATTGTTGCAGCATTCATGGCATTTTGTATAAGGTCTATAAGAGGACATATCAAATATCAGCAAGATGAAATAAAGGTAAAAGAATATCTTACTTTGTCATTTCAGAGAGAGAACAAGAGAGCAAGTGGATTTGGGTGGAGAGGAAGGTAGGGAGGATCTGGAAGGAGCTGGGGGAAGGGAGAACCACAATTATGAAAAAAATTATTTTCAACAAAAAGAATATATTATTTTCATTATTTAAGATAGAAATCAGAAAGTTGGTTATTATATGTACAGATGTTTGTTTCTGTTCTTGTATTGACTCTTGACACTATATGAAATGCATTCCAACATTACAAGGTCTATATACAGTTTAAATTAACATCATCTATTAGCTAGATGTATCCTATTAGGGAGTATTTCTGAGAATATTACTCAAGTTGTACAATCTTCATTATCTGCGAGGCACAAAAGAAGGCAGAGAAAGCAAGCTTGATGACAGTGTTGCCATGGGAACATACAGGCTCTTTCAACACACCCCTGATACCTTCTATTTCTTAAACCAAAGGCTTCCAAAGAGCTGGCATCTACAGACGTAATGATGTCACCTCAATGATCAAAACAAACAATGAGAACACCAGAGAGGTTTGCTTTCACAGGGATCCTCCAACTTATGGGTTCTAAGTAACATTGGAACGTATTCTGGGACTGGACAAGGACCTATGCTGAAGGCAGATGGCAAGTCTTCACAGAGATACTTCTTGGTGACAGACCTGAGAGATGCTGCCAACAGCAGCTGGAGCAAGTCATGGACCCACACAGCATGTGGCACCGCACACACAGCCTGGCTCTGGCCCTGTGTGTTGGAGTTTGTGTGGGGTCTTAAAATAATTCACACACAGCATCTGCCTAGGCTCTTATTTGATGATCCCTTTGCTTTTTAAAACTGGATCAGAAGACTTGGAAAGCAAGGCACTTTCTTCTTCATTTTTCAAACACAGAATGGGTTCTGTGATCAGTTTGGGATCCATCCTGGTTTGTTTTATGGTTTGTACTTGTTCGGTTGTTGTTGCTGTTTTTAAATCATTATTGTGAAAAGTCTTAGACTCATTTTGATCATGCTCAAATACAGATGGCAGAAAATTAAGATAATCCAGTATGAACGTATTTCCTCTTCTCCCTGCTTTCTCTCTCTTTCTGTTGCATGAATGACATCAATACTCCAAACTTGTATTCACTATAGGACTAACTGATATTTGTAACATTATAAATTACTTCACTTAAATTTGGAATTTATTAAACTGACTTTGGATTTTGATCAGTTCTAAACTTAAGAGGATGTGTGTTTATGTGTGTCTGTATGCATAAAGGAATAAAGGAGAAGGAATCATACAGACACTTATGGAAATAATGGTAACAACTAGGGAAAAACATTTATTGCAACAAGGTACAAAGCCCAAGGTGCTTCTTATTGTTGTTGTTGTTTGTTTTTAAGCACAAATGGATTGTCAAGGAATTTTTAAAAATATGAAATTCACTGCAGCAAACCTCTGTTTAGCCATAGAGTTTCCCATGTAAGTCTTACTTTAAATTTAGCTAATAGCTCCCTTAATGTAGATAGACATGTTTTCCCACCATTACATTCTAAGGTACATGTTTTGTTCTGTGATAAATAAGTGCTTGGGAGCCCTGACCCTACAGCGAAATTCTTGTCGAAGAATGTGCCTATGCCATTTTAGAAAGGTAGTAACATCCGTTGTCCATTTCTGTAGGTCCCAATTGCTCATGCTTTTAAAATCACATCAATTCAAAGAAATCATATTTTTTCCTATTTTATTCTTGTTACTCCTAAAAGGTGAATTCAAAGTCAAAACTATTGAGAAGCCTGGCTTAACTTTAAGTGTATGAAAATTCTTTGAGAATGAGAGATGTGATTCTAAATATATTCATTTTTCCTTTATGAAATAACTTTCTTGCTAGACAAATTTTCTGTAATCATCCAAGGTCGTAGCTCAAGTTAATGACATTTCCAAAGGCAATTCAAAGTACAGTCATTTTTTTAAAAAATGATTATTTATTTTATATCCCAGCCACAGTTTCCCCACCCTCCTCTTCTTCCTGTCACTCCCCCACCTCACCTCTGGTCCCTCCCACCCAATCCACTCCTCCTTTATTTCTGTTTGGGAAAGGGCAGGTCTCAAATGAACATCAACAAATCACAGCATACCAAGTTGCAGTGAGAATGAGTATCTCCCATGTATTAAAGCTGGGCAAGTTGACCCCGTATAATGAGTAGTTTGCTGGTATAGTGGTGAGCATAGCAGCCTTCCAAAGTACAGTCATTCATATACATATATATATATATATATACATATATATATTTAATTTTTAAAAAAAAATTTCCATTCAATTATTTACACTTCCTTCCCTCCTCCCAATCCCCTCCCACTCCCACACACCCCCTTCTCCCTCTCCTACCCTGCTTGAGAGAGGGCAGGGAACCCTGCCCTGTGGGAAGTCCAAGGTCCTCCCCCCTACATGCAGGCCTAGGGAGCTGTGGGTCCATATAGACTAGGGTCCCAAAAAGCCAGAACATGCTGTAAAAACAAGTCCCAGTGCCTTTATCAATGGCTTCTCAGTAAGCCCCCATTGTCAGCTACAATCAGAGAGTCCGGTTTGATCACATGTTCATTCAGACCCAATCCAGCTACATTTGGTGAGCTCGCATTAGAACAGGTACACTGACTCAGTTGGTGGACCAACTCCTCGCGGTCCTGACTTCTTTGCTCGTCTTCTCTCTCCTTCTGCCTTTCAACTGGACCTTGGGAGCTCAGTCTGTTCCTCTGATGAGGATCTCTGTCTCCATCTCCATCCATGGCAGGACGAAGATTCTATGGTGATATTTGAGATAATCATCAGCGTGATAGTGGGGCAAAGACCATTCCGGTACCCTCTCCTCTGCTGTCCACGGACCTAGTGGGGGCCATCCCCGTGGACACCTGGGATCCCCTCGAGAGCCAAGTCTCGCCAACCTAACATGGATCCCTTAATGTAGGTATCTTCTTCCCTGCTCCTATATCTGCCCTTCCTCCATTTCCACCCTCCCACTCCCCCAAAAGATGAATATGGTATGTATTCACTCATTAGTGGACTCTAGCCATAAACCAGAGTCATTAAGCCTATAGTTCACAAGCCCAGAGAAGCCAAACAACAAGGTGAAGGCAAAGAAAAACATAGATCCTCCTGGAAATTGGAAGCAAACAAGATTGCAGGTGAAAGTACAGTCTTAACTGTACAACAATTTTTAACTACTTAGTTGTCAGATGGGTGGGCCAAACAACAGATTCTACCCAGTTAAGTTATATAACAGGTAGAAAAATTCTAAAAACTAAAAACTGTTGCCTATTCTTTGTTGGTATTTTGATTTCTTTAACAAGCACTTGTAGATGAAAGTTTCTGTTCCACATGGTCACTCAGCTTTTCAATCCCAAAGAAACACACAGAGGCTTGTACTAAGGATAAATCATTTGGCTTACTAGTTCAGGATAACTAGCTCTTACAACTTAAATTAACCCATAATTCTTATCTATGTTTAACCACATGACTTGGTTCCTTTTCCCAGTAAGGCATTCTCATCTTGCTTTCTCTATGTTTGGCAGGTGACTGATTCTCTCTTTCCTCTTCTTAGAATTCTCCTAGCCTAGTAGGAGAAGTGCCTACACTTCACTCATTTTTATTAAACCGATAAGAGTGATCAATCTTTATAGTGTACAAGAACATTATCCCACAGCATTCCTCCTTTTTTCTTTTCAAAACAATAAATTTTCCTACAGTAATCTCTGAAGTCTCCAGAAGACGATGGGGTCCCACAACAATGATTTCACCTGGTTCTTATGGATGCCATTCAGCTGATAACACCACTTAAAGATTGGCTTTGGACTACAAACCGCTCAGAATATTTTTGAGGTGGCTGGCTGAGATGATCCTTCTTAGCAGATTACTCTAGCCAGGACTTGAGAAAAGCCCTGCAGTTTCCAATTATGCATAGACTAGACAAAAAATGATACAGTTACCTCTCCCAGGACTTGGAAATTAACTCAAATTTTTCTTTTCAGGATCCCCTAAAGATATTGACAGCACCAGACATCAGAACGTATATTTAAGAATAGGATGCCCACATTCCCAAAAGGTGGGATAGATGGTTTTGCTTATTCAATGAATTATTAACATTTGTCATTGTTTAGGATGGTTAGTTAAAGTTATTATTGGTAATTGTCAGGAATAAAACTAAACAAAGGAAGTTAGATTCAGAGTTCTTGTTTTGAAAAAAAGAAAAAAGGGGGGATATAGATATGATAAGATAAAAAGATAGATTATTATGTCTACTTTTAAAAAGCAGCTACTAGTTATAAATGTTTTACATTGGTTTGGACTTCTGTATATTGTATATAAATTTTCTCTATTGATACAAATATGAGATTAATTTTGTTAGAACATACTGTATATACATTTCTACTCTTTTTCAAGGTATTTTACCTATATAGCTCATTTAATAATGTAATGCAAATTTCTTTTTTGTTGTGTAAATTAACCCATTTATTCAGAGGCTGTCTCAAATGCTAGCACTTCTACTGGTCTTTCAGTTACTTCAGTACTAATGACAAACTTCACTATGGTGGCAGAAGTAGTGTTGTAGGTTCAGGCTCTGCCAGCCACTGTTTTTGTGCAGGAACCACAGTGCCAGATGCCAATGGCTCATCTCTTCATCTTGATCTTGCCACAGAAGGAGCATGTGTACTTGGCAAGCTGGCTGATATCTATTTTCTTCACAATTTTCCACAGGGAGGCAACATCGTGAGTCCCATATTTCCCAACAATCCCGACCTTCTTGGTGCATTTAGCCATGTTGCTAGGAACCTAAGCCCAAGCACAGAGAGCACAATGTAAATATCTAGTACTTGAAAATTATTATTACCAACTGTTTCAGATAATAAGAAATACAGGGTTAGTAATTAGTCACCTATTATAATTGAACTTGTAGTCACACTAGGTATGCTTTCAAGGTCAAAGATATAGATAGGCAGGTCATCTTCAAACACTTTAGAGATCTACAGAAAAATGGCATTACGATGTTTTAATAACATAGGCTCTTTTTTTGGGACAATGAGACATGACTGCTCCTAGCAACACCAATCTACTTCAGAGAAGATAATTGCTGTCAAAGAAACTCCACATGGAATTCACTTTTTTTGTGGCAAAAGTAAGCTGCTGGGGAAGAATATGCACTTGCCTTAACTGCTGACAGTATGCTGTCCTAAGACAAGGAAGGACAACCCTGTAGAATACCCTCTTGCACAAAAAAAGTCTATTGGATATGCCAGGCCTGTAGGTCAAAGATAGATGCACCAATGTTGTAGAGAAACACTATGTGACTGCCCAGGAAGCCAGTTGTTTCTGTCATTTCTCACATTCTTTGGAAGTCGCTTACTTGCACTTCCTGCTTACTCAGTTAATATTTCCTTCTTCAGTCTCTGAGGGAGTTGAATATTAGACAGTTATTTTTATAATTTACAGATGTAGAAATCAGTTATGATAGAAAGTAAATTAGCTATAAGGCTTTGAATTCACCAAGAGAGGATATATATGGAGTATTTCCTCTAAATTTGTCAAATGAAAATGGACTAGACATTGTTAATATACTTATTGCTTGTACATGTGGTATACAGTTATTGTACTTATCATATGTTTTTTCTTCTTTTTTGTTTTTTATTGCTTTATAAATAATACCAATCAAAATTTCTACTTCCTCTCCTCCTTCCACTTCCCTCCCACTCCCCCCACATACCCTCCCACCTCCAGTCCTGAGAGAGGGTAAGGTACCCTGCCTTGTGGGAAGTTCAAGGCCCTTTCCCCTACATCCAGGCTTAGGAAGCTTTGCATCCAAAGAGAATAGGATGCCAAAAAGCCAGTACATGCAGTAGAGACAAATCCCAGTGCTTCTCAGAATCATTGTCTTCTCAGTCTGCCCCAATTGTCAGCCACATTCAGAGGGTCCAGTTTGTTATATTAGTTGTAGCCTTCCTTTTTATATATTAGACAAAAAGGGGAAATGAGGTGATGTTTCATTTGTATTTTAATAAATAAAGCTTGTCTGAAGGTCAGAGATTAAAACAGCCACATTGATCAGCCTTATAGACTAAGCAGTGATGGCACACACTTTTAATCCCAGTAGCTACACTAGTTTGCCTAGAAACCAGGCAGTAGTGATGCACACCTTTAAACTAATCCCATCCCTAGAGAGAAATATAAGACTAACGGAGACAGCTTTCAGACACAGTCTCATTCTTAGATTCCTGGAGGCAGGATCACCATTTCAGACAGAGGTAGAGATAAGAATCAGTGGTTGTTTTGTTTATCAGACCTACAGGTTAAACTCCAGTTTCTGTCTCTGAGTTTTTATTAGTCATGCTATATGTACCTTTATTGTTTTTAGGAAGTTGTGTTAAGAAAAAATGTAAATCAGAACAATAGTGAACTGTTACCCATTAAAATGTTAAAGTAAAAACTATCTTAAGTATTGGCCAGGATATGTAGAAATAGGAAACACTGTGCACTTTCAGAAACATGAAAAATAATGTACCACTTGGCAAAATAGCAAGTGTTCCTTCAAAAACCAAATATACATTAACTAAGGAATGGCTAAACAAAATATGGTCCAAATACAAAATATGGCACACAGAGAGAGAGATTGTTCAGAGTAAAAATAAATGAAATATCAAAATATTCTACATCATGTAAAGAACATGTGAAACTACACACATACACATACAATTATCATATTTATTTGAAATATTCAAAATAAGCAAATTATAAGACAAAAAATGATTCCTAACTGTTGATGGAGGTTTCTGTCATGCCCAGACCCACAATAGTTCAGTCCCAAAGAAATACACAGAGGTCTTCATTAATTATAAACTGATTGGCCTATTTGCTCAGGCATTTTATTAACTCTTATAACTAATATTAGCCCATAACTCTTGTCTGTGTTAGCCACGTAGCTTGGTACCTTTTTTGGCGAGGCAGTCACATCTTGCTTCCTCTGAGTCTGGGTGATGACTGCTTACTGAACTTTTCTCTTCCCAGAATTCTCCTATTCTTTTTGCTCTGTCTCTATTTCCAGCCTTGTTGCCCACCTCTACTTCCTTCCTGCCTGGCTACTGGCCAATTGGTGTTTTATTAAAATAATATTGACAGGGAACAGACCATTGTTCCACAGCACCCCCCCCCCTTTTTTAAACAACTCTGAGTCAAATCTCCTTATGTTAGCTTTACTCCTAACCATTATCCATAACAACTTGTAACCAACATTCTAAACAATGACAAACATCATAATCCAATTTTTGAAATGTGGGTTTAGTTTTCTAGGCTACTTCCTGCTGATTGGGGTCACTGATAATCTTATGGGGACCTAAACAAAATTTTGAATTATGGTCAAGTCCTGACTGGAATATTCTGTGAGGCTTGATCATATCAGCCAGAAGTCTTGAAACTGTTCTGAATGCAGAACTTATAGGAAACTTCAACAGAGGTCCTGTGAAATGTTGAATTATCTGGACCATCTGCTCCTATTGGAGATTCTTCAGGGGGTCTTCCTTGATCAAACCTGATTTTCATAACTCAGATTGAATCCACAGTTTCTCATTTCCTGCGGAAACAAAGCCAAAACCTCTTCTCCAAAGTAACATATCTTTTGAAGTATATTTTAAAGTCAAGGCATTCTCAAAATTTATATGTTGGATTAATTCAGCAGCATTTATGATCAAATATCTTTTAGCAGATATTGCTCCTTCCTCAGCATTGAAACAATTCAAAGACAGCACAATAATATACAATATTGAGACTCTCTGTGTATTTTCCATCTTTACGTGGCTTTATATTAATAATATCGACAAGGTACAGACCATTGTCCCACAGCACCTAACTACCAAAAACTAGAAAGATGTGGCACTTGGTACAGTCCAGAGAAGGAGCACAGGATTTCTTCTGAAATGATGAAGGTGTTTTAAAATTGATTGAATGGTGGATGCTCAACTCTGAACAAATGAAAGTGAAGAGGTGGGTAGCCAAATTTAAGTAGTGAGTTATATGGCATTTGAGATTTACTTCAATAAAACAATTTAAGCAAAAGTTGCTAGAATACTTTTTTCTTGAAGAAAAATAGGCGAAGAATATATTCAAAATTTAGAGTTGAACTTTCCTAAAATAACAAAATTAGAGAGCTGTAGCAATTATTTGTTAAATTATGAAACACAGCTCCATGGGAGCTGATTTCCAAGTAACATGTGTTCTAAAGAAGGGCTGAAATCCATAGATACTAAAATCCCATAACTTAGGAGAACCTACTGGTTTAGTCTCAACAGTAAATCTACCTATGAAACCAAGATATCAGTTAAAATTATGACTGTTGATAAAGATTCACATGTGGACTTAATTTTCTCTCAAGTTAAGACAGTGATTTTACAGAGCAATGACTCATTGAAATGAACAATTTCGGGTGGGGTTGATTGATCAAAAGAGTATGACACACTGCAGCTCCCAATGCCACTAGGAAAAATGAAGAGGTGTTGGAGAGGCAAGAAATCCAAAAGAGTGAAGTGGTTTTATGTCTGTTTGTTTTGTTTTGTTTTTAATTAATTCAGAGGAGATGCTGCAAAGGTGAAAGACAGATATGGAGGGACTGGGAGGTGAGCTCATGATGGGAAATTCCCAAAGAATCACTAAAGAATTATGTTTAAAATTAGATAGTGGTTTTGGAAATGCGATCTGTGTGCCAAAGCAGGATGGAATCCAATCTTCTGTAATTTCAGGGCCATGTGACCCTAGGTAGTATACTGTGTGCCCCTACATTTCTTCCTAAATATTTTTTAGTAATGAGCAATATATAAGTTGCATGCAATTTAATAAACAGAAATGCCTCGGCATCCAATATGCCTCCAATCTGCTGGGTTTCTTACTTTGTTTGTTTATTTATTTGAAATCAAGCTAGCACACATAGCTCAGAATAACTTTCCTCTGACCATAAATTATAGGCTAAAACAGAGAAGTTAGCACAACTGTCTTCTAATGGGATTAAAACCTTGTGGTGGATTGCCATATGACTCCACCAGTGATGAGTGATGCTGAAGCTCTGAAAAATAGCTGTCTTGTCTCAGAGTCTAGTATTTCATTTAATGGAAATCGCACCAGTTACTCCAACCCCATGGAGCTATGTGCCAATGCCAATGAGACTTTTCATTTCTATGTAGATCACTAAAATATTTGCACATAGCAACTATCACTGTTTGATGCATATTTTGACTTTTGAAGGGATTCATTTGATATTTTCTTGTTTGGGGGTATTTATCTGCGAGAATATTAGTTAAATTTATGCTTCTTTACCAAGTTTCTTTGTTGGAAGGAAGTCTGGGAAAATTTGCAGGATAGTCTTGTGGGAGTTGAACATGCTGCTTCTTGATGCACCTGGAGAAGTGGTATGCAAAGAACACGGTGCTGTTATTGAGTTATAAATCATTGTAACAAGGAGGAACATATTGCTTTGCATTTTGTAAAATCTTTGGACTAACTATTGGCAGGAAGAAATAACTATTCTTGTAGGATGAAAAGTTTACTTATTTTTTTTAACATGCAAACTTGTGGATTCCATTTGGAAAGGCATATCTACACACCCAGAAGATGTAACATACTATAAAGGTTAAGAGTATTAGAACAAGAGAAAGTACGTATGCAATGTCATAATGAAATCTTTTGCTTTTGCACTTTAATGTTTAAAAACCAATGAAAAACTACCAGAGAAATGTGATTTTGGAAAATTATCTACTTTGCTTCTGGTTTTATAAAATAATAAATAATACTAATATGATAACACTTGCCTTACGGAGACTCTATGGTACATATATAGCCTAAAGGAAGACCTTGCACACGGTAAGTGTTCTTTAATCACATGAAGGGGGTAATAAAACTTTTAGAGTTGTTCGCATTAAAAATATTGCAATATTCATGACTGTAAGAAAATAAGTTTCGTGGAAACAGGAGTTGTGTAATGTGTTTCTTATAATCCTATTGTTTACTCCAACACCCATGTTCGGATTGCACTTGATAATTGTACTTGGACCATGCTACCCAGGACTTAGGCATGCCTGCCTCCTCTCACCATTTAATTTCAACTTCAAAGTCTTTCCTCCAAAGGCCCCCTCAGGGACCACCCAACTAAAAACAGATGCTCACTTCCCATTTCAGCCATTATTTACATTGTTTGTCTCATATCGCTCATCCTTTCTACAAATTATGTTTTATTTATTTTCCTATTTATTGTTTATCCCTTTCTGCTAGAACACACAGTCCATGGAACACAGGAAACTTGGTGTTTTAATTTCCATCACATTGGTGCCCTGAACAGTGACAGATATCTAATAACTTTCAAATAAAGAATTTTATTTCGGGGTGAAGATTCAGCCTGCAAAGTAAGGCCCTAAGTCATAAATCTTTTGTGTTTTTTTAGGAAGCGAACTTTAGTCTGGGATGTTTCATGGATTGATAGGTGTGGAAAGAAAGAGGAAACAGAGGATGAGTCAAAGGAGAAACTATGTGAATGAGCATCAGAACTCAGTCAATCCTCCAGGAAGCTCTGGAACTGAGATGCCTTGTCTTTCCACCCCAGCCTCAGCCAGTCCTCCTCTAAGGACCACCCAGGAAAAGTTCTGATGGCGCTGACTACAGTTAAGTGTCAATATTTTTGGACTAAGACAAGAAGATGGTATTTTACCTAACTTTTGAAGAAAAGGGAGAAGATCCTAAACTATGTTTGTATATTGACAAACCACACACTAGTCAGTAGAACCAGCAATGAGAAGCCCCACCCCCACCTCCAGGAAGTAAGCCAATAGATGCCAGCTCCTATCTGAGGGTTAAGTTATGAGTATCCTTCTTAAGGGTCAAAAATTCAGAATCTTGGGATTGTTTTTTTCTATGTATTTCCCCAAATTTCTGTCCAAATGTTACTCTTATTCTGATTCCTCCTATTTATATACTATTCCACAGACTTATTTGGCTATTTACAAGTAAGGGGCAAGAAAAGTCTCTGTAACTAATGACTGTAATTTTACTCCACAGTTGAAATCTCCCAGATGTTTGCTCTGTTTCCTGCTATCCTGGGAGAGATTATAAATGAATTTGCTTGCTGAATTAATGTGTTACATCTCATTTTCCTTTCCACAAGAGTCTCTGTACTCAAGAGTTTTCCTATTTTAAATTGTTAAGCCTCCCTGTGGTGTTAGGACTGGTTGACATTGCTGTCCATCTATCTGGATGCAAAGTATGTCATTCCATTTGATCCAACAGCAGAATTTCTGTGGGCATAACCAGAACCAAATAGGTAGTGCCAGACACTCTAACCAAGGGGAAAGATGAATCATTCTTTCTAAAAATTATTTAGAAAGATCAGCTGGTTTTATCACAGTTTTTTCTTGTAAACATATGTAAGCCATTATGCAACAGAAAGGAGAGAGACAAATAAGATCAAAGTTCAAATCTTCAACTGGTATCAATCAAGAGAAACAAGGACAGAAGATGGGGTGAGACCAAGGAATCTCAGAACCCTGATGGAGCTAATGAACGGAACTGTAGACGAATACCTACTCCCCCTAAATTACTGCCACAAAACAAAGACCAAGTTCAATTTTGGAACTGTTCTTCCAGTTAAGTGTATTGCTTCATTCTTGGTTTATCCTCACTGTCTGAGAGCAACAGCAGTGGCTTCTTTCCATGCTTTTCATGGGGCCTCAGAGTTTGCACCTTTGCAAAAAAATTCATAGCATTCCCATTTAGCCAGAGATGAGGAAAACAGCAGAAAATGAGGAGAAATATTGTACAAGGTTGAATTGAAATAAAAAAGGGAAACAAAACAAGCAGCAGAACGGCTAAATTCTTAGAAGCCACATACATCTTCTCTTTGGAAATAGGTGTCTTATGTGCTGAGAGACTTGGTTGTGTCCTCTGTCTTTCATAGATGATAGAAAATGAAGATTCCTTTGGGGGCAGAATAAGCATTGTTTGATCCATACATCCAGGGCCCCAAAGAGAATAGATTATAGTCAGGAGACGGTAGAGACAACAAATTCTTAACCAAACAATCTTGAAACCAGTCCCTGGCTGCATGCAGACACATTATATCTCTGTTCTTTTTACCAAAAAGAACATAGGCTTGGAATGACCATCATGCACCCAGCAAGGAAATCAATGACTACCACAAAAGGCAGAATTAAGCCCTCAAATTAATCAGAAGTTAAAAGCATATAACCAAGACTACAGTGAAAAGGGATCTTATAAAACCCAAGCTTATATTTCTTCTCTCTTCCTGTTTTTCTCTATCCTTTTAGCCATCCACTTTGTACTGGCTAGTTTCATGTCAACTTGAAACAAGATTTAGTCATCATAGGGGAGGGGACCTTGTTTGAGAAAACACCTCCATAAGATCTGGTTGTACGTAATTTTTTTTTAAAATTAGTGATCAAGAGGATTCAGATAATTGGAGTGGTGTCAAACCTGGAAGATTCTATAAGAAAACAGGCTGAGCAAGCCACGAGCAGCAAACCAGTAAGCAGCAGTCTCTCATGGCCTCTGCAGCAGCTTTTGCCTTCAGATTCCTGCCCTGTGTAAGTTACTGCCCTTACTACTTTAACTGTTATATGGAACTGTGAGTAAAATAATCCCTTTGCTCCTCGAGTTGCCTTTGGTCATGGTGAATCATCACAGCAATAGAAAAAACCTAACTAAGACACACTTACATACAACTGCTAAATCTTTTCCATCTTTGATTTGATATGTGAGATGAAATGTTAATGATACGCCACAAAGAAACGAGCAGCTGATACAACTTGTAGAGTTACAGTCTTTGTGGAAAGGTGGGGCACAACACTGAAGTAAATATCATAGACCAAAGGCAGGAGGGTCTGGTGGCAGAAGGGAAAATAAGCGTACAACACGAAGCAGAAGTTTTGTTTGTGAACAGTGTATATGTGGCAAGTGGTAGAGAGTGGTGACAAGGATACAGTCCTGGGCAGATGCCAAGAACCTCAGAGCTGACAGATGTCTCCACATGTCCCTGCCTTCCTTCTCTATGTGTGTTTCCATTTTCGGCATGCAACGTAGCTGAACTCTAGTCCTCACTGATAGACCAAGCAATTGTCTCCTGCTCTGAGACACACTGAGTTTCCATGCTGAAGGTTTTAGATGGGAATTGAGAAGAAATAAGAAGATTGTCTTTTGTTTTTGGACAATAATGTATAAAATGTACCTATTACCAACATTCTTTGTATAAATGGAAATAGCCATATTGTACAATATGGAAAACAAAACAAGATAGTAGCACATGGATAAACTTTTAGAAAACAAGAATCTGGATCTTTGGCTCAAAAATCCCAGGATCCACTTCCTGCTTCTTCCTGGTGCTGCAAATGGAATGTCTACAGCCACACAAACCACCGTCCTGTTGTATTTGTCACCCTCTCAGCATGTAAATGTCTTCAAAGAAAGTGTGACCGACCTAACTTGGATCATACTCCAATGACTTTTAGGATAATGGAGGAGTCGGAAATGAGAAGCACTATGTGAAATGGGAGATGGTTAGATATGCATCCAAAGGAAAGGATGCCGCACTGACCAAAACCAGATGGAGCCATTAGAATTTGAAAACTGAGTGGATTTTTTGTTGTTGTTACTAATATGATAGCAAAATAAAATGTAGAGGAGAAAAGAAGGAAGAGATTTGAGAGGGAAGAAGAGGGACAGAAAGTGATTAAAACTCAAAAGATGTTAAAAGCCATCAGTTTGCAGCCCAGAAACCTATGATGAATCCACAGGGATGCAAGCACAGCAGAGGCAACAGACAACATCCCAGCTGCTCTCAGACACGAATGCTGAGGGCGTCCTTGTGTCATGGAAACTCTCTGGAAGCCTACTATTGTAATTGTGTCTAATCACAAGGGCATCTCCTCCTCACTCTGCATGTTTTACTATCCTAAATTGAATACTCTAACTGGATTAATGGCAAAAATAAAAACTAGGCCACTTAGCAAGGGTTATTTTTTCCATTCCTACAGAGCTCATTGGAAAGGGGGCCCATCTTCAGTTGTCCTCAGGCAGAAAACACATGGGACACATTTACAAGCTCCTCATTGAAAGCCACTATTGAATTCAAGGGCCCTCAGCCACTCCACCCTGGTCCAACACACTTAAAAGTTTTATTTTTATTAGCTTTGTAGCAATTAAAATAATGTACTTATATAACTTTAGTAGAAGACTTAGTTTATATTATTTTAAGAAAAATTATTTAATCTGGTTTTCTGTTTCATTTTACTTTTCTATTGTTCCTTTATTTTACATGCAAAATACACTAACCCTTGACCAGAATTGCTGTTTTTTATGGATAAGGATTTTAACTCATGGGAAGAAGAAACATTTCC